TACAACCCCAGGCCGCTGGCTTTAATGATGCTCTTTCGTGGCGCTGATGCCTTCGGCCTCAGTTCAAAGCTCTGGGCAAGCGTAGTGCCCACTGCTACATGTCTATCCTTTTGCCCTCATGTACCCACAGCAAGCCGTAAGTGTGCCTGGCAAGAATCCTGTACCTTGCTCTGGGGTCGGAAGAAATTTACATGCCGGACGGTATTCCTCTGCCCTAAAACATATCCGCAACCTGACACTCGCGTTGGAAAGCAGCACACACACAAGCCTCATCACTGAGTGTTAACACAAGCCTTAAAGCTCTGAGCTATACTCGCCTGATGAGGTGGGCAGAGCTGCACTGCCATAACCATTATAACCACGGTAGCAGCAGCTGGAGGAGGCAGTAATAACAAGAATGGCGGTATTAGTGATACATTATTCTTGTATTGCTGTCTCGTATGTCATCAGGCAAAGAGGACTCGTCTGAGCTTTCTGCGTAGGCTGCTTCTTTGGTGCAGGCTGGGCTTTTGCTGTGGCTTGTCCTTCCTTCGGTGCGGGCTGAGCTTTTGCTGCGACTGCTCCTGGGGCACCTGAGAGTCAAAGGTTCACCACCCAAACTGGGAGAATTCTGAAAATCATATAAATCACTTTTGAGGAGATGGCGGTAGGAAGGTCATATTATTGTATATACCATGGAGCCCTGTTTTGAGAAAGGCTTACATGAGCTTGGATACTGGATACAAGAAGCCTTCATGCTGGCTATATGTTGGGTGCCAGTTAACCACATTTGCACATCATAACATGCCCTCATCTTCTGGGAGTTCCAAAGCCAGGGGAATGAAGGACTTCGCCTTAAAGTCCTTTGATGGGGAGACCCTTGCTTAAAGAGCTTGAGGCCATGTAAGAAGGCCCTACTTCAAGTGTTTTGGTTTGGCTAGTAGAATCCAAACCATCCCCTTTGACTCCACCCCCCTGTCCAGAAAAATGGATCCAACCCGCCAAAGTATTGGCGCCTGCCAAAGATTAAAGGACGCGCAACCATGCGAGCTAACATTTTGCTGCAGGCTTCTTCCGTCCTCCCGGTAAGAAGGCACACAAGCCAGCTAACATACCTGGGGGTTTCCCATAATTAGGGGCTCCATCATGAGATCCTTATAATCAGGATTACAATATATTGGGGTCTATATTGGGGCCCCCTGTTTTGGGAAACTACCACCTCAGCAAGCCGTGAGGCTTTTACGATAACACCGGACCCCACAAAAATGAGATGGCGCATTCGCCGACTCTAGATTCAGAGCCCACGGGGTCTCTGCTTTTTTCCGCTTTGCCAAATAGATAGCTCTTTCCCAAACACCAGGTCCAAAATGCCGGGGATCTTCTTATCGGGGCTTCCAGAAGGCCCATACCTTCTTTTTAGACACCTGAAGCTACGACTGATGGTGCCACCACGTTCCCAAGAACATGGGCAACTCGGCACGGAAGCTGAGCACGGTACGCTTCTCTTTCGGCGGGGGAATCTGAGTCTCAAGTTGGCAGATTTCTAACTAAATTCGAAAATCACGACAGAGGTGGCTTTCATGACATGCCCTGGCAGATTCCAAACATGACAAGTTGCAGTTGTAGCAGCCAAACTCAATGCAGGAACTGAATCTCATTTTTCTGAAGTGGCATGAGAAGAAACCACAACAGAGTAAGGCTTGTTTCACCTTCATCTTGTAGACTCTCTTTGCACCCAGAGCAGCTTTAGAGGAGGAAGGCTCAAGAAACCCAACCCCTGGATCCCCAACCGCAGCAAGAACCCATCTGGCCTTGGTGATGTTCGAAACACGCACAGACACAGGACCCTTGTCAGCGTCCAGCTCAATCTGGCCAAAACTTTGTTTGGTGGCTTGGTAGGGTAGATAGTATTCTTCTCCTACGAGGTCGTGTTACTACGTAGAAGGAGAAGGTAATCTGAGTGCACCTGGCTCTACACAGCTTTTGCATTTGAAGCAGTATTCCAATTAGAAAACTGCCTATGGCCTATAGGTACCTGTCGCGCATCTGGTATGGGAGCTCGCAGCTCGAACAACGTGTTTTCCGTTGTTAACTGTTCAAATCCCTTTAGTCCCTTCCCCTAATGATTACAGCCGAGCCCCCCAATCACAATGAGCATTCCAAATGTGATACCATATTGTATTATTGCATTACCACCATATGAGCTATAGTCTAAAATCTGATTATCCCCCTTAATAACCCCTATTTATACTAGTCCCCTACATAACCCCCTTCAAGGAGTTTAGACTATAGCTCATATGACAGGTGGAGCTTTGATTTTCAGGGGAAGGGACTTCGGGCATCTGGCTAGCCGGGCCTTCTGCAGTTATCAGCACCCTTGTGGAGGATAGTAAGCTGCCAGACCCAGAAATCTTCCTGGTTCGGGGACTTGGTAAACCCAGCTCGGAGGGAAGAGAAACTGATCTCACTCTAGTGTGAGCTCCAGAATCGTGACGCAAGACGACGCAGGCGTCAACTGTATGTGTTTGTCACGACACACCCGCAGAAATTGAGGTCGAGACGTGCACATCCAAATCCCATAGAACATGGGGGTGTCCCAAAATTAGGGGTACCATTTTGGGGGTCCCAATAACAAGGATTATAATATTTTGGAGTCTATATTGGGGTCCCCCTATTTTGGGAAAGTACCGCATGCAACCAAGGGATAATTCGGAGTTCTGAGCCCATGGGAACTCTCCGGCAAAGCCCTGTCCATGCCGGCAGCACGTGGTAGCGATCCTCGCCGTCCACTGCGTTTTCGTCCAGCTTCACGAAGCCTCCGTAGCTATATGCTTCTATGCATGAAGCTCCCAGCAGGCATGGGGGTTTTGCGGCTGCGCGACGATTTTGGTCATTGTGATCCCTCCTGCATTTCACTTTGTTAAGTACATGCTTTCCGTGTTCTCAGTCGTCCGTGGGAGCTCTTTATCCGCATTCAGGCTTTCTCAAGGATGCCAACACATGAATTGCCCAAAGAATCCTGCCCCAACCTTGAACCCAAAGTCCCTTCAGATTACCCAGAGGCTCATCAAAAGGGCCTTACTATGCTCTACTAGGCGTGGATAGCGGATAGCTTCAACGGTAACCTGCCCCCTTGTTGCATGCAGATTGGCTATGAGGGCCGCTGAAACGAGCCAAGTGTGGGCATTGATTGCCGGCTAAACAGCAAGCGGCAATGGCTTAACAGAACTCCCGGAGCCCCTAGCACACATCTATGACCGCACAAGCTGAGTCCCAACACCCATGGCCAACCTCTGCACAAGAGTATCTGCCCCGGCAAATTCTTAAAGAGCGCATGGTCTTGAAGAAATGTGTCTGCGAAACATGGAGACACTTGCAGCAGCCGGGGCGCTCCCAGTCAAGCCATTCATTGTGGAATCGGACCTCAACTTCTTCAGCCTTCGTTCAGGCCAGCACAAGGAAGTGGAGTCAAATTATCTCCTGTTCCTGTGGAGATTGGGAAGGTTTCCAGGAAGAGCTGATTTGTGAGAACGCCATCAAAAAGCAGTTCATGTCGAAGTGCGCCCTGCAATACCTCCACGCAAAGTCCAACTTGTATCAGGCCTGACTTTGTCTCCAGGACGAAGCGCTAGGGGTCCAACTCCGTTCTTCCTGCACATGAAAAGAAACCATGCGAACTAGATAAATGCAGGAGATTTTCATGGGTCTTGAGGGTCTAGTGCTTTGGTTGCAGATGTGGTGCCTGCAGAATTATACCGCGCATACGAATCAGAGAGTGCACGGCAAAGCACAAATTGCAGCAAGGTGCCTTATGTTCATTTCGCAAAGCACGGCTCCGATTTTGAGACAACCACCTGAGGGCCTGGATGAAATCCATCCAAATATCCCCTTAATGGCCCCAATCCTACAGCACACAAAACACCCCCAGAGTCTGCCGGCCTGCCCACTTCCTCCTCCTGGGTCGCATCTTCTGGGGGCTGCTGGAGGCCCATGGCTTTCCTACAGGCTGAGGCTGGACTTCCTTTTGGGAGAGCCCAGTCAAGGATGCCTACAAGGGAGGCCCCAAAGACCGATGAAGAAGTCTGGATGCCTGTTTGTAAAGAACTCACGTACTCCGCAAAAGTCTTGGTGCATCTGGGCGATTCTAAACCCCACGCCCCCTACCCGAGTCTCGTTTCCGAGCACGCTACCTGCGAACTTCAGGGTTTGAGCCGTAGGCACAGGGCGGCTAGAAGCATCAGCAGAAGCGTAGGATCAGGAATAGCAGAGAGACTGGTAGGCGCAGCAGAACCAACAGAAGAAGATCTGGTGAAATGGGTAGGCGTGAACCTGCCGCAAACAACAATACGTGGAGGCTACTGGCATGCTGGATAACCAGAGGACTGTCAGAACAATGTAATGCCATGCTGCCAAATGGCATGATCATGAGCATGCTGCCAAATGCGGGCAATAACTGCTGGGCAATAACTGCTGGGATCGTTTCGGCACCAACACAGGTACACACAGAGCTTATTGTTATTGCTTCCGCTGCATTTCAAGCCGCCACAAAAATACCAGTAAAACATGCCGCAGCTGAACTGGTGGGGCCTGCGAAATATTGAGAGCCCATGATAGAATCTAGCGGCAGCACGGGAAAAAGCATGGCTGTCTTCATTTTTGAGATGCTTACAGATCCTGGTGCTGTGCCTGTTGGGTCTCAGGCTATCAGTCTTGGAAGCTCACACGCCAAGGCGTTCAGGATATATTGGGATAATGGAAGATAAAATGGAAACTACTATAATGGGATATATAGGGGTTATATAGGGGTATATTAATATAGGGGTTATATATGGATAATGGAAAAGAAAATGGAAACTACTTGGGGGTCCAGGAGTCATCTTTGAGGCTTTGGATTCGTAATCGTGCTGAGTTTTCTGACGTCTCAAAGCCATGGGGCCTGTCTACATGTTTTTTGTAATCATCCAACCCTGGGGGATATTGCTTGTAGGCTCACGTCATCACCATCACACTGGGCGGCGCGCTTCTTGGAGAGTTGGAGCCAGTGGCAGGACTGGTCCCTGTCAACTTATCCTTGGCAAGCAGGGGTGGTGTCGGGGCCTATAAACATTTACCAATATCAAGTCTGTTTGAATACCCTATACTGCAGTTATACAAGGAGTTTAGGACCAAAAGTTGGCAATACCCAGATGGCCCTGAAATCCTGTAACCCAAAATCCGAATCGAGACCTCAAACCCTTCTCTCCAAAACTGGGAGATCCATGGTGTGATGCCAGTAACCCCCCACCGGCAGTTGGTATGCCCGACCGAATGCTCGGATTTCCTGACATGTTTTGCAGGGCTGAGATGGGGCCGAATAGTTGGGGTGGAAGGTCCAAGGCTTAGATTTAGATGCGGTTTGGGGGGTGTCTCAAGATCATACGAGTCGGACGTTTTACAAGGTTCAAGGGGACGAGTGAATCTGGAAGCGCGTCTCACGAGTAGAGTCCCTACCGGGCTGGTCTCCTGCTAGTGCTCTTGTCCCATCCCGAACGCGGGGGCTTTTCACAAGTGCGAGTGCCGCCCAAGTGCCATCTACTTCTTACACACACACATGCCTACCTAAAGCCACTGAACATCACTTTACTTAACCCATCAACGCAGCCCTACACGGGGATCTTATTCTATTATATCCAAAGCCATATTCTATTTACTTGCGGAGGAATACAAGCCCTAAATCCTAAACCCTAAATGGTAGTTTCCATTGTATTTGCCATTCTCCCAACATAACACCCATTTCTGACTATAAGCCCACACCCCTACCTTTAGCAGCCCTGAGAAAAAGTGCGGCTCCGCAGGGCGCCTTGCCGGTGAATGTCGGGCCGCAGCTGCCTGAAGCTTTGCCGTCAGCATCCTACCCTTACTGTGGGTTAGTAGGGAACAGGGACTATGTAGGGATAAAATTTCCTTATTCTATACTGAGCGCCCGTAAGTATCGTTCCCTTCCGGAACCAGGAGCCAGGTCCTTGAAGGGGCTGGGGTCATTCCCAAAAGTCGTACATATTTAGACTTGTAGCCGAGCAGGAAAATTGCTGCTCAAGTGCTTGGGTCCATAAGGAAGTTGCTCAATACAACCTACGTAGGTCTAACGGGAGCAGCATATAGGATGGACTGGACTTCTCTGTCTGTCTGTACGGTTTCCCATGCTAGCCAATCAGGCTTCTGTACCTTTTACACTGGCGTGTTGCACTTGGCCCACAATCTCTCAGTGGCAGAAGGGGCAATTCAGCTTGAAATAAATTCAACCTGACTCATCACACGTTACCCAAGACCGGATTAGGGTGCAGCTGCACAGCAATATTAGTGTTCACTTGCAACACTTGGGTGTGTGGATGTCTCATTGCAGCCGCGGACCATTTCTGTTTGCTGACAAACATTCTTCTCCTTTCAGTTCTGTTACTGTGAATTGCTCATGCCAGTCGTGCGATTTCACTCCTACTGCTGCTGCTACTGCTGCTGCTACAGCTACAGCTACTGCCACTGCCGCCGCCGCTGTCGTTGCTCTTGTCATGAATCTTACTTGGGAAGGCAGGCCTCTTTGTGCCACTGCGGACCAAAAAACATAGCGTGAAAGACCGGGCTGGCCATGGCCAGGCAGCACCTGCTGCTGGACTCACATGTTGAGAGCTTGTCTATCTAGCTCAGAGGGTAGGATTTGTTGTTTCGAAAGTACTGCTCCAAACTTAAGGACTTCAATACTAGGGTTGACACGAGCTCCCCCAATAGGAGCCCAACACGGGGCTAAGGCATGGTTTGTGGCTTGACTAAAACTTCAAAGAGCCGTTCGCGAAGCTGCGCTACATTCCGCTACATATTAGGCAGCCAGTAGCTACCAGGCTTCGTGGCAAGGCTTACGGTTTAGGCTTTAGGCTGTAGTCCAGCTTCTATGGTGCTGTAGCTTCACATGCGGGTAAAGTCCAAGGTTTTGGGACACAATTTTTTCTGAGCTATAGTCTACACTCCTAGTATCCCCCTTAATAACCCTATAGCCCCCTTTTAAGGAGTTTAGACTCTAGCTCATCTGGCTCTGTCCTGCTGCTGCAGTGATAGGGCCAGAGCCACACTGCAATGACATCCCGTCGTCTTGCAAATCAGGTTCTTTGAAAATACTTCCTTTCCTTGTGGCTAACGTGTCCAGAAGCTTGCTTATCATGGAGCCTGAAGAAGCAAGATTTTCCATCAGTTCCTTTTGGGCTGTCTTGTATGGTGAGTAAATTCCCATGGGTGTGGTCACCAGCACAGCAGTGATGATTAGAAAACAACAGCACGCAGCGCAGTGTCTCTCCTTGCTAAGTCCGAACATTAAGCCCTAGCTCGCAAACAAGACTGTGGCTCACCGCCGTACAAGTCACGTGTGCATGAGCCAAAGATCGCAAGACTTTCGGGTGCGCATGCAATACGTAATCCGTTCTAGAGGTGATGATGAGCAACCCTCACGTGGCCTGCAGTGTAAATGAAGTAGAACGTTAAGGAAATCATACGTGGCGGCAAGAGGCGATCCGTAAACAGACTGAAACTTTCTCTTGCAGCTAGCCGTGCAGCTTGGGTCCTCGACTGAAAGTTAGCCGTACAATGCTGCATGTTCACAAGACCTGAGTGTTGTTGTACTTCAACAATCAAGGGGTTCTACCTTGGACCCCTAAGGTTGCACCCCTGGGTTTGGGGACCCTTTAGGGACCATTTTAGGAAACCCATTGGGAATATAGGAGCCATATTAGTGGTATATTGGGAAAACCTTTGAAACAAGGATTCTTGGAGGGTTTTGGCAGTGTTGGCTGTTTGCCTCCATGACTTCCAGAAACTCCCAAAAGCTGCGCAGCCCCTGGTGTCCTGAACCCCGGCTAGCTTGTTGCAGAAGCAGAACGCTGAGCGTTGCTATAGCTAAGATTCTGACTTGAAACTCCGGCCGGCCCGAAACCCTGCATCCAGAACACGCATGAAAGTAAGAACCCTGATCTTGCAGAGATTTCTACATGAGCCATAGTCTAAACTCCTAGTATCCCCCTTAGTAACCCCTATAGTAGTCCACTATATAACCCCCCTTTAAGGAGTTTAGATTGTGGTACACATGGGCCTGGAACTGAAGAGGTGGACCTCCTGCAAGGCAGGCGCGCTTGGACGCTTAGGTTTTGTGTGGCCACGGTGGGTTGGCGCAGCAGCTTGAGGTCCATCAATCAGGATGATCGAGCACGGTGACAGCATATACCCTCCTGTGAAACTACAGTCTACCTGCTGCTTTTGCAGGGAATTACTACTTTAGGGGTTTAAATAATTACCGGTACTATGGTTCCATATTCCTTGTATAATTCTAGTATTCCATTGGTTTTTGATATCTTTTTCTATGGCTTCCGCCTCGCTTCAGGACTGGGATGGAAGCCTGCCCTGGTGAGTTCATGTAGGAAACCCTTGGGAATTATTGGAGCCCTTTAAGCAAGTATAAATGCATGTTTATGCATGCTATGTATGTGTACAAAGTCAGGGACGCTACGGTTTCGCCAGTTTCCAGAAATGCCACGTTTCGGCACATGTAATCCAACCTCGCGTGTTGTCTTCTATCCTCCCACAATACTGGCGACTGCCATGCTGGCTTCAGTTTGCAGCCAGCACTCAGAGCCCTCACAAAACTTGGAGTAGACAAAGTGTATCCCGCACATCAGCCTTGGAGTCCTCTCCAAGGAATTTGATGACATGCTGCTTGTGAGAGGCAAGGCCCCCAGCCACAATGCACATATGGGTTGCGGTTGCTTCGCCTTGAAGTCAGAGTCCATGGAAAACATTATGGTCTTCCAGATTGGGCGGGGATTTCCAGACTTGTTTTGTCGTATCCAGCCGCATTGCTCTTTCAGGAATGGCAAAGATTTGAGCATGTTCATCGTCAGGAGTTCCCCTCGCATTCACCAAAACACTCGGACCCTGATTTGAAGCAGCCAAACCCTAAACAATGCTTCCATGCTCTTTACCATTATCCCTTTCTTACCCCCAAA